CCCCAAAACCCCAAAACCCCAAAACCCCAACTGATTTAATTTGATTATTTAAATTTAAAATCATAAATACAGAAATAAAAAATGGATCAAAATAATCTCATTGCACAAGAAAAGAATAACAACAACTCTCACTAACAAATTCCCAACAATCAACCTTCATCTAAATCATCTAATCCCTCCTAATATCAATCATTCTCAGTTTCTTATACCAATTAGTAGAAGTAGCAACATCTCACATCTTCTCAGAATAGCAATACCATAATAAATCAAATCGAAGATATCAATTATATGTTGCCTCTAGAAGACTTTATTGACTCTGAATTCTTTGAGTTCTTTCTTGAGGTAGCCAAAGAAGTGCGTGAACTAGCTGTTAAGATCGTATCCACCTCTATATTTATAGACGAGGATAAAGACTTGCAGGCATATCACAGACTAGCTGATAAATGGGAATATAATTATGTGCCTCTTATCTACCAGGAATTTGCTTCTAACTTCAAGTAGACTGTGCGAAGAGACATGCAAATACCTGAATATGTCCAGCTCATGAAGTTGCAGTTTCATAAGGACTATCAAAGTGTTCATAAGAGTAGGAGTAGTGCTGGTGGCTAGTCATCTAAGAGTAAAAATAATTACACAAGTGCTTTGAATGTGATGAACTAAAGTAAAAAGTAAGAGGCCTTAAGCAGAGATGAAATCGAATAGCAGAGATAGAGTAATATAGATTAAGAAATCGAGTAATTAATTTAAGAAGTGGCCTACTTAGAACTCAAGAAGACTATCATTGAGCAAATCAAATCAATATCAGTTACATTTGAACAAGAACTGAACTAATAGGTGTCCCCTGAGGGAAATGTTGTGAATAATGATATGAATAAAAATGATGCTGAGTATATTGAGAGAGAACTTGTATAATCATTTAATCAGGCTTTTGAGAAAATACTCTAACACTCTTAAAAGGATAAACAAATATAACAGGAGTAGCTTAAAGATAACTCAGTATAAAGTGTAAAAATAGGATAAATGCTGAGGAAAGTATAATAGTTAGAAATAGACTGATAAAAATTGAAATTTTATGTATATAAATTGATTAATTAATTATTACCTGATAATATTACATTGTGGGGTTTTGGGGTTTTGGGGGAGATCGG